ATTTGATCTCTGACTTTGACACAAAGCTTTCTTCACTGAACTCACCCTCCTTGTTTCCCCTTGGCACACATGCAGCCACTCTACATGGGATGCCTGCATATTCTTCCCCATCTAGTGATGTAATCCCACTGCCTCCTTCCAGAAGGTGCTTCCACACAAACTGAGTCCCCACACCAAGAGGGGACACTAAGCCAATACCTGTAACAACTACTTTCCTTCGACATGCAGGCAGTGACTTGCTGAAAGCCCTTCGCTGGTTTTGTAAATGTAGATTTAAATTCAGACTCCGGAGATGAAGATTTGCAATCTTTAACAGATCCCGTGAGCACTGTGAGAACATGGTAGCAGTAATCAAGCACATTCCTGTAAATGGAGGGGGGTGGAGGGGGTGGAAAAAGACAAACACAACAATAAAGCAGACAATGTGGAAAACATTCCAAGAACATTAAATTAATAACCTGCTTTTTACTTGACAGCCTGCTTTCAACCCTGAAGAAAGGGATATATTTTCTGTGTCTGTAACGAGGAATAGTATGAGTAATGGCAGATAATGGCAAAGAAATGTTCACTTTGGGAATGCCTCTAGTGGGCTCTTCTAGCTTAAGCTGCTGATGAATATGACTTTGCACTACTGTGGACTGTGAAGCACTCTCTGGGTTTTGCTGCAAAATTTCCCCTGGAGTTTTAACCACCAGCTGGCTGTAGGCAGAAACGATGAGCATTAACAGCTTTACTCATCTAAGGGAAAAAGTATGTGTTCACCAGAAAGTGTATGTCCCACCATTACCAAGTTGAGGATATCATCATCTCAAGCTTCATGTCCAGCAGAACAGTCTAGAGACCTCAAACAGGAGTCAATAAACTTGTCCTGGTTCTGCTACTAATGTAATTACACATCTAGGACAAGACTCCTTCTCTTTCCCCCTCCACCAACCCATAATCAGCCTTGGGTTATTACACTGTCAGAGAACAGTATCTCAAGTAGCTTGAGCAAGATGTAGAGCACAGCACCATCTCTGTTGAAGGCAGCAGCACCAGACCCCGCATCACAAGAGGCACAGCAAGTGATGGCAGAAGGCCTCTGTGGAGAACAAGCACTTGAGGAAGGACCAGAGGACTATGCCAAGCAGTGATGGTGCTGCACTGTACCACAGTCCCTTTTCCGTGCCTTGGCCACCGCCAGTCCAGAGCCAGTCTGACTGTGACATCTGACGTGCTGGAGCAGGGTGGAGGCTGCAGTACAGCTCTGCCAACACCTACAACACAGGCTTCAGCAGGCTGCTTGCTTTTTGCCTTGTCCAAAGGGCAACTTGGCCTCCCCGGATCTTTGGTAAAACAGAGAGAGCTCTACAAAGACCATAAGGGACTGCTGGGCACTCCTAAAAATACCCAGTCCTGTGGCAGCACAAGTGCACAGCAGCGTTACTAAAAAATGTCATGGAACCACAGAAAGGATGGTGTTGGAAGGGACCTTAAAGATCATCCCATTCCAACAATCCCTGTCATGAGCATTGACACCTTTCACTAGACCAGGCAGCAGAGAACAGCATCCAGCCTGGCCAAGAACACATGGGATAGGGAATAAAAATAGTAAACAATCACATATTATATTATATACATATTCTATGCAAATATTAAATTTAATTATTAAAAATTATTTTTAAAAGGAGCCTCTCTTAAATCGCGACCCAAATTTGCCGTTTCAGTTTTTTATGCCACTTAGCCTGGACTCTATAAAAGTGGCAGTATGTGTGTATACTCTATAAAAAAAATAAAATATATAATAATATATCATGTTATATTATACATATATATATATAATATATATATAATGCAAGTTACAGATATATATAAATAATATTACCTATTCTATATCTAATACAGAATATAAAACACCTCTGCAGTCATATTATATGCATATTTATGGAGTATAATGTATAACATATATATGTTTTATGAATGTATATAGTATAGCATATGCAATGGGTAAGAGAATGTATTTTATACATATTATTATAGACGCGTAAAATAATGTTTAAGATATTTTATCAGTGTATATATATATATCTATATCCAAATGCACATATAATATGACTGCAGCGCTCTGTAAGGCAGCTCGTCCCGCAGCCTCACGCAGCCTTTACTGAAATGCCGTCAGCCGGTGCCGAGCCGTCCTGTCCGACCCAACAACGCCCGATACCTGCTGTGCGGGAAAACCAGGCGCAGGATAATTTTCCCCGGGAACAAGCGCTACCGAACACCCCCCGGTGTTTCAAGGGCAATGTCTACTTTTGAGGTGTAAACTAGGAGCCAAACCCTGGCCCCACCAGCGCCGCCATTGCCGCCCAGGCCCGCCTCCCCCCCGGCCCGTGCTAAACCCCCGCCTCCCTCCGCCCCAGCCGCAGCGGTACCTCCGCCGGCTGCGCTCCCCCCGCCCGGCGATGGTTCGCTCTGCCTCCGCTGGGGGCGGCGCATCCCCCCAGGCCCGTGCTAAACCCCCGCCTCCCTCCGCCCCAGGCCGCAGCGGTACCTCCGCCGGCTGCGCTCCCCCCGCCCGGCGATGGTTCGCTCTGCCTCTCTCTCCGGTTCCGACGGCGCGGGGCCGCACCACTCCGCAGGCGCGGGGGGAAAGAAGGAGGCGTGCGAGTACGCGCGGCCCGCGGCGCTTCCTCCCGCCTGGCCCCGCCCGCGGGCGGGCGGGCAGCGCGGTCGTGCGAATAAACTAGAGACCAGGAAAAGGAGATGAAATTATTTCCTTCCCAAGCCACGTGCTTCAATCACGCAAAGGAGGAATAAAAAAAGAAAAAAAAAAAAAAGAAAAAAAATTCCAAGCTAAAATCTTTCAAAGAAACACTCCGGTAGAGTCTGTCCGTATTCTGGACAGCCTACCATGGCAGAGCATAAAATGTTTGTCCAAGTCTCATCAACAGAGACATGAATTAGTTACAGTGTGAGTTTGCTTGTTAGGTGACACCTTTGTATAATTTCAGTATACAGCAGCAAGAAAACTGGAATTAATTTACCCCCAAGCAACACAATAATGTCTATTAGCTGCAAACACAGATACCTAAAAATAAAAAAAATGTAGCACAGTAATGAGGCACAAACTGTAGGAAAAAGGGGGGAAAAGCCAAAAAGGAGATAAATGCAATATTTAATAAAGAAAAAAATAAACATATGTGTACTTTTTAAAAATGAATCTGTTTTCAATTTAGAAATAAAATTCCTTGGGCATTTAATGTGTTAGCGATTAGTTGGTTTTCTAAATTTTTCACACTGCTTGCCTATGAGCACTTCCAAAGCATTGTTTACAAATGCCATACTGAGATGCATTATGTATTTATATGCATACACGTATAGGAATTTAGTTAATCTTTGTATTTCCTAAGGTAGCCAACATTGAGAGTCACATGTCTACATGAAACACATGGAAAGGAAATTAAAAGCTGAAGTAGCAGCCAAGGAATATGGCATCATTTTAAGTTAAAATTTTATTACTTTGGTACCAGTTCCTGAGGACTGAAATAGTAACACTTAAACTATGCCAGTAAGAATAATAAATGTAATCTCAGCAAAAGTGAACTACCCTGTGTTAAATCTCAGTGCTTGTGAGGGATATGTTCCACTCTTAAAAAGTCATAGAAGCTGAGCAGTGACCTGTCAGAAGCAGGCAGCAGAGCCGTTGTGTAATATCACCTACAAAATCAGAAGGCAGCTTGAATTTTAAAGACGTCTGTTGCTTGGAACTCTTTAAATCTGCATTCCTAATAAAGCTAATCTCCACAGGTCTTCGTGCCCAAGGTTCTTCACCACAGTTCTTTCAGTAGCAGCACAAACCGGACATTTAGAAGAAAAAGATTAGGGTTGTTTTGTTGTTGTTGTTGTTGGTTTTTTTTTTTTTTTAGATGTTTAGAAGAAAAAGATTAGGGTTGTTTTTTGTTTTTTTTTTTTCTTCTCTGGGATGGACTGTGGGTAGTGCAGGGCAGATGTGGCGGTGAGGGCAAGTCACTGCAGTGACATTCCTGCTTGGGCAGCCCTGGTGAGCGTGGAGGTGTGGCACCCTCAGTACCGTCAAACCAGGGCAGTACAAAAGGGGATCTATATCCTTAATGACGTTACTGCCTGCCAAAGGGCTCCCCATGTTCCAAAAATATGGAATAGGTAAACATTTTATTTAGAAATTATGTTCTTTGATCTTTGTGCACTTTCAAACTCAATCAACCAGAAAGGAGATTTAATCAAACTCTAAGTTATGTCCAGGTGTTAGCAAGACAAATTGCTTGTTGGCAGAATTGCTTTTTTTTGTGTTTCAGTGAAATCACTCCTCAAAGAGGTGGAGGTTTACAAAGCTTGGGAAGAAGGATATACCACTCTCAGTGGGCACAAAGAATGAGGAATTTATTGGACACAAGGCCATTTGGCAGAACTCCCAAGATAAGGAAGAAACTAGCAAAGCCAACTCAGCAGCAGTGCTGGGACCAGCTCTGACTGGATAAAAGGTAATTCTGGCAGGGGGAGTTTGCAGCCATCGACTGGAGAGAAAAAGTGGGCCTGTGGCCTAATCAGCATAAAAAGTAAGGGAATCATTTAGCCAACAGAAGATAGCATGTTTATTAGTAAGAGAACTGTGTAACTTGTATCCAATGAACATTAATGCCTTTGTTTGCTAGAATGTATAAACAGTGATACATTTTGGTAGTCATCCTGCTGGCCTTGCGCACCCCTTACTGCGCAGATCCGCAAACAAATCAAATACCTCGACCTTGGGCGTGGATTGGCGCCTTGCACACTATGTGAAAGAAGCTGCTTTGGGACACAGAGCCCGGTGTGGCCGGGAGGTCCCGCTGCCCAGGGGGGTGCGGGGTCAGGACTGAACTCTTTAAGGGGAGCCCTTTAAAGTCCCCCAAACGCGCCGGCTGTGGGCACGGGGTTCTAGTGCTGTCATCGTTCTTCCCGTGCATGCGGCGGGCGGCGCTGCCCGGCTGAGGGCGGCGACCTCGGTGCTGGCACAGCGCATGCGCCTGGCGCAGCCGGCGCGGCGCGGAGCGGGGGGCGGGCAGGCAGCGATGGCGGCCGCGCTGGGGCTCTCGTCCTCGCCGGGCTCCCCCGCCGTGAGCGAGCTGTGCCAGAACAGGCGGGAGATCTTCCTGGAGGCCTCGCGGCTGCTCCTCACTTACGCTGACAACATCCTCCGGTGAGCGGGGTCGCCGCCCTCGGTCGGCGGGCGGTGCCACAGGGTCCCGCCGGCCGCTCCCGGCTCCGCGCGGCGCCTTCGGTTCTGTTGTGTAATGCCGGAGCTCGGAAGCGTCTCGCGTGGTTTTGTCGTCGTTTTAAAATTAATGTTGCTTGCATTAACAGAGGTGTAGTGTTCTGGGTTTCTGTTTCTTTATTTATTGCTGGTTGGTTTGTTTTGAAAGTTTAGGAGTTTGTGTATTAATCAGAAAACGATGCCTTATTCTTGATTTTCCACCTTAGGTGGGTATTGAACTACCTAAAAAAAGTGGCTGCACAGCAAGTAATTTAACTTGTTTTAAACTTAATTTTTACTTCATTTTGACTTAATTTCATTTTTTTAATTCTATTTTTTTGCTTGTCCTATGCTTCTGACTTGGCACGGTTGGTACCAAAAGTTAATTGTAGCTGAATTTCTGCCAGGTGGCTGCGCAGGGTGCACATACTCGCCAGTACGTGTGGTTGACCTTGATGCCTTCTGGCAGCTCGAGGTGCATGGGTGCCCCTCCCTGTCTGCGTCTGGCTCCTCAGCCACTTGTTAAAGCTGCTGTGGACAGAGAAGGGCGAGTCCCGGGCTGGCTTCTTTTAAAGAAAAAGGTTATTAAAGGAGTTGAAAGAGGAACTGAGAGGTAGTACAGAGATCACAGTCGTTCCACTCAAGTACCAGGCAGTTTAGCACAGCTTCTGTGATGGGACCCAAGCCATCCAGCATTGATCTGTTTGGGTTCAATTAGAATGCACCGGGTATAAGGGGATGTGAAGTTGTCTCTAAATGTCACTACAGACTTAGCCGTGGGACCCAAGCCATCCAGCATTGATCTGACAGGTTCAATGTCAGATCAATGACATATATATAGGTATAAGGGGATGTGAAGTTGTCTCTAAATGTCACTACAGACTTAGCCCTGCTCGGTATGACTACAAAACATGAATTCATGAATATAAATTGTAAGCTAGACTTTAGCACCAGTTGGTAACTCAGAACTAAGTACAAAAAAGCATTTATAAAGTCAAAGTTTTATGTAGGTTTTGACTAAGTGATGTAAATGAAACTAAACTTTTAAAAAAAAATTTATAGTGCAGTTACCCAGCTTTTAAGTGTCTACTTCATTTGCAGATATAATTATAACTTTCAATTTGTTCAGGAATCCCTATGAGGAAAAATACAGATTAATTCGAATTGGGAATCCAGCATTCTCCACAAGGCTGTTGCCAGTCAGAGGAGCTGTTGAGTGTTTATTTGAGATGGGGTTTCAAGAGGTGAGTATAATGTAGTAACTTCAGGTATCTTCGTCTGTTTACATGGTAAAATTTAAAATTGGAAATTTTTTTTCTGCTTCTCTAGTTGCAAGGCAGTAGATTTCAGGGCAGTTGGTGCTTTCAGTCTTTGTCTGCAAATATCTGTAGCTAGCCAGCACAGAATTTAGATGTTGCTGCTTCAGAAAAATGGTGAGCAAATCTAATGTATAACAAGATTTTTTTTTTGTATTTTTTTTTTTTGGTGCTCAGGCACTGCTGGTTTACTGAATGGCTGGGTACATGTCCATGCTGGCACAAAGGAAGTGTTGGGAAGCAGGGTGGAAACCCCTTCTCTTTGTAGTAATCCTCTGTTTGGTGAACATCAGACATTATAAATGAGTGTTGAATCTGGCATTTTAAAGAGAGAGAAAAAAAATTTGAAAAGCCCTGCTCTTCTTCATGTTCCTACCATTAGTAGGGCCCTGTAGTGATTTAGATTAGGGAAGCTGATCTGATGAAAACTTAATCTTCCAAAACAAAACCAGAAATGTTTTTCGACCAATTCACAGTGCAGCTGCACAAGTACTGGTGTTGTCATGACAGCAGTGAAGGGCAATAGACTGACTGTTCAAGTAGTAGTAGGAGGGTGAGTCCTTCAAAACCCATTTTTAAAAGTTATGAAATGTTTTCCTAAAATAGTGTGGAGTGAATCTTGATTCTGTTGCAGTCAAAGGATGCATTTCAAAGATTGCCTTGTGTTCTGAGGTGGTCCCTGTCTTGGTGGAACTTTAACTGCCAAAGCTTGTTAAACTAGAAGCAGTTTTTATAATTACTGGAAAGCTGGTCTAAAAACCCAGCTCTTGTTTAACGGTGCAAAGCTCTTGCTTTGCTTTAATTTGTCTGTTTGATGCCACAAACTCTATGGGTATGTACATTGTGTTACTTAGGTCCAGCTGTCATGAGACCTTCTCTTTGGGTAAAGTTAATTACTGTAATTTTCTAATTAAAAGAAAAAGGGTACTGAAAGTAGTGGTGACTGCAGAGAGAGAAACAGTTTGTGGATTTATTCTCATGCTTGTGCTCAGGAGACTTTTAATGGTGTATTTCAGCCAGGAGGTGGGTGGTGTAGCTAAGGGCAGGTCTCTGACAGTGTGCTGCCTCAGTCTTACAGTTACTGTGTTAGTCAAAGCTGGAGCTCACAAACTTCTCTTCAACTGCATGGCTATTATTGTTCCCTCTTTTGTTTCTGCTTGATAATGGATTGATACATTCCATTTAGTTCTGTGGTGATTTTAAGTGTTAACACGAAGTCTCCATCTGCAGTGATGTGTGACCTCAAGTAACTGTAGGTTACAAGTTACCTTCATAAGTGGAAGTGCTGCAGTGGTAGAAACTGAAACTGTTAAAGTTTGACTGCTTCAGGATATCCATTTTTTTAGTAACCTGTTCCTTTATGTTAAGTACACAAATATTTGATTTTGTCATAATTACTCATCTCTTGTTATGCTACCAGAAATCAACCCAGGTACCAGTTGTAATAAAAGTATTATTACCTATCTGAAAACTTAAAACTTCAACATAAAAGATACCAGTATGTATGAGAATTTCCAGCAGATGCTGTTCTAGGGGCTTCTTCCCTCAACATTGGATGTCATCCTGTGTTGCCTAGGATTTCATTGCTGTACTGTGAGTGCTGAGCTGAGCATTAATTGTTCATTTCTGTTGTTGCTGCTTTCTGTGCCAAACCATAACTACATAGCCCATGAATGGCTCCACAAAATAAGTTACTAACCAAAGCATGTTTTTAGGAGCCCTCTTTCTCTAGATTGACTCTAGGTTCTTTATCTGGTAGGCTTCTGAAACTGAGAGACTTCAGGCTTCTGCTGTAAGGGACCGAATCTAAAAAGCTGAATCCTGCCAAACCTTAGGAGCCTAACTTCCAGTAAATTCTTCAGCTCTAACTACAGATCGTTGACCAGTTTAGACCTGCATTAACTGCTGAATTCACTTGTCTAAATTTCAGGGAGAAACTCACCTGGTTTTCCCTAAGGAAGCTTCAATTGAGCAGCTACGTAAAATCAGAGACTTGATTGCTGGAGAGAGGAGTAGCAGACTGAATGAGTCAAACCAAATCCACAGATCAGGATCCTCTGAAACTGTCAGCAGCACTCAGACAGCTGCACAACGACCTTCGAGACCTGTTGGCTCTGGTTTTGCCCCTGCCCGTCAGCAGCCAGAAACATCACTTGTGCAATCTCTTGAAATGGTAATTATAATCTGCAAACTTCATAGGCTCGTTAGTCTTGCATATAAAGATTGAAGACTTAGCTGTTAGGACAGTTAAATGCTCAGAGAAAATGAGTCTGACCACACAGCTAATCTTGCTTAAGAAGGTTAGACTAGACATTTCTTCCCTCAGTGGTTTCTGAAGGTTTCTGAATGTTTTCTTCAGTTTACATACTTCTTAAGGGTGAAATGTGCTATAAACAACATATTAGCAAGAGGTTTTGTTGAAGATGTCCATGAATATTCTGTTGATCAGGGTGTCAAGGGAAAAAGCTGATATGTATTGAAAAGGAACAGCAAGATGGGGAACAAGGGGGAGAGTGCGAAGCTAAGACTAGGGTTATGTTTGGTGTTTGAGAGCCAGCAGAAGAAAAGGAGCATAACTTGCTTATAATTGTTGGTGTCTTGGTTCTTGCATTATGATCTCCGTATAGCCTGTGAAGAGGGTTTTATTTTTTCACATGTGCCTGTCATTAAAAACAGAATTTTAGCCAGACAAGGATAAATTTATAGTCATCTAGGCTAAGTTTCCCTGTCCAAGAAGTTGAGATGAAGTTCCTGATCAAGACAGAGCAGAGTCCTTTCATCTGATGTTAACTGGCCTGATGGGAGAAGAATCAGCATCTCATACAACTTTGAAAAATTAAGTTATGCCTCTTGATAGAAGCTTTTAAGGATGCTTTGGTTTAACTTTCTGAAGAGTTTTTCCTCCTAGAACCAGTGTCACTTTAATCTCAAAGTTGGTGTAAGTTGTATCCTTCCAAAAGCTCACTTCCCGTGCATCCTTAAACACAATTTGCATATTTTGTATTATATTATCAGTATATTGTTGGATATGAACTATGACATACTGTTTCTTCCCAATGCCTACCCAAGTGAGTGAATGAGAAATGGCAAAACGTTATTTGGAGTGATGGCTTTTGCGGGTAGAGAGCACTGAATGACTCATCCTGACACAAAAGGTCTTTTGGGAAAGCCACTGTTGTAGGCATGTTGTATTGAGACTTTCCATCTAATTATGTTAGCATGGCAGTAGTTGCCTCTAAAATATGCTGACTGGATTTGTTTTACTTTGTTTGGAGGTTTCTGGGTTGGCTTTTTGGCCTGCTTCTAGATTTTTACTGTTTCAGCCACTTCTGCAGTGGTGGTTAGAAGTGATTGTGAAACCTGTAGAGTGATTTGCTGCTGCTGTACTGCTTAGGGGAGCTTTAAAAGTTGAACCTGCAGTGACAACTATGTTGCTCAATGTTAACACAATGTATTCTGAGGTTAATCCTTCCATTTCTACTTATTCTGCCCCAACATACACTGGCCATCAGAGTTGTGGTTCCATTTGTCTAAAACTTCATTTTCCATGCCTGGGTGGTGGGACCAAACTTATTACTATTTAGAGGCATTACTAATGCAGTGTTTTCACTCTCTTAGAATACTGTATGTAGCTGATCTCTACAGGGAACTATACTGATAAGTCTCTGAGCCATTGAATTTGGTCTTTATAGTCTGAATTGATTGGAAGGAAGTCTGGCAGTGACTTGGCCATTTTGCTTGCACAGCAGTGGGGTGTTTGTTTTCCAGTGAGTATGCTGCAGTTTTAGTTGTATTATCATTGTATGCACTGCTGACAGATGTCAGAGAGATTTAGAGTTGTTTCTGTTGTGCAAGCATTTTTTTCTTGCCTATGTGTTTCACCTGTCATTCATAGGAGGCCTGGTAAATGCAGGGAAAAGCAGCTTCCTTGAAAGAACAGAGGAATATTCGTAAATACACAGTTCTAGGAACCTAGCTCACCATTAATTTGCCTCATTGTTTTCTTCTGCATTTCTCGTCATAAAATATTCTTGAGACTTAGGAAAAGGAGAGCTATGGCTAGTTGTTAATTCTGGTGGGTGGATTCTGATCCCTTCCTGAATGGCGTAGTGATTACAGGAGGAAAGGTGTATCCAAACTTAGAACTGCAGCGAGGTTCACCTGGCTTCTGTGATTAAATGTTTGCATAACACTTCATACAGTGGCTTTTATAAAGCAGATTAAGCACTACTGTAGCACTGATGGTTTTGCATCAGAAACCTATGTAGTCAAAGAGTCTGAGAGACTTCCTGTTGTGCTGAGCAATATCCCTGCATACCCTTTCAGGAAGCTGATGGACCATGAAGGTCTTAAGGCCTTTGGCAGTGTCTAATGCCCCTTATTTCTTCCTTTCAACTTGCATTAAAGTGAATCTGGGCACAATGGAGTTTATGATATTAAACCAGTTACCTACAGCTGATGAGCTCCAGGAAAAGCAAAACAAGCTCTGTTCTGTATTAGCAGTTATGAAAATTAAGGACTGATCCTGAAGTACTGTAACAGCATTGAAACAATCACTTGTAATTTGAGTGCTCCTTTAAAAGAAGTTTTCTTCTGAGGAGTTCTCACACTGGGTGTATGATACTGCATTTGTTGCAAGCCTCTCAGGCAAGCATTGCATTTTTGATTAAATTAAAATGGTAGTTAACAAGGCTAAAGGCTGAAACATGATGTAGCAATAGAGAAAAGGTAATTTAGCAGTGCCACAGGCTTCCCCCAAAAATATGCCAGACTCTTACTTTCAAAATCCCATCTCACTTTCTGTATTGTTCCCTTTTAAATGGGAGCAACTAGTTTGCTCAGCTACCAACGTCGTTATTATTAACTTCAGTTGTTAGTTTTAGTATTTGTGTGTACCTTATTGGGTGCAATGTGCCTCTAGGTGACACGTAGGATAACTGACTAAAAAAATCTAGTTCTTTTATCCAGTTGCTACTGAAACAGATTGGGTGGTTCAGTGGGTGGTTACTGGGCTGTCTATACAAACCTCTATCAGAGTATCTCTAAAAGAAGGAAGTAGGAACAGACAAGCAACATTCGTGAATAAGAAATAGTAAGCAGAATTCATCAGTAATTTAGTTCTACAAACCAGTGTAGCAGTGTCCAGAAAATAAGTGATTAAATGTCTTTTTGTGGGTTTTGGGTAAAAGGTGTATAAAAGAGAGGTTGGGGGGGATTAGGTGGGGAAGAGAAGGCAAAGACTTTTAAAGACATCTCTAATGGGAAACAATTTTCTCCCTAAGTTAGTTGACTTTTCACTCAAGACACCATTCAGAATGCTCAGAGATGACAAGACTGGCTTTACAGTTTGGGTGGTGATGTCTTCAGTTCTTATTGATATCTTTGCAAATAAACATTTCACCTGCAAATAAATATATAATGTAAATATCAACATAGAATTATGGCTGACTTAAACTAAAATAAGAGAGCTTGGTTATTCTGCCTGAAGGTGAAAGTTCATAAATCTTGTGACTTAAAATCCTTTTGCAGGCTGCAAATATCTTGAAAACACTTCAAACAAAATTTGAGGGGCTTGTATTGATGTATGAGAATCCTTCTATTCAGCAGAAAGCACTGGCTGCAATTCCCCTCCAGGAATTGAAAAGCAAGGCTCAGAAAAAGCTAGCACAAGCTACAAAACTGGACAAAGGTAAGGCTGCCAAGTTGAAGTGTGTATGAAAGTAGAAATGTTCTTTCAAACATACCATGCATTGTCAGTGTGTGTTTGGTCATATGTCTGCAGGTTCCACATGCTGTTTCTAAATTGGAATTGCCTTCTTCTTAATTTACTACTCTCTTATTTTTATTTTGCTTATGTCATCCGTCTTTTACAGCTTTTATGTAGAAATTTTGGACTCTTAATTTCTGAATTTGTAGAAAAAAGCACTGGGGAAAAAAAGTTGCATTCCTTGAATCTCAAGTGAAATAGTTACAAGAAGAAGAGGGGAGCTTCTTGTTCAAGTAGTCATTGTTATGAAATTCTCAGAGTGCAATTTTCCTGTATGTACTACAGTTCTAAATTCAGAATATAATTTTTAAATACCACTTCTCTTTTTTAAAGTGATATTGGTGAGATTTGGAATGAGATATTTCCAAGATGTAACCTGATAGAAATAAATGATCACTTTCCTTCCTAAAGCTGAAATGAATAGGGTTATTCCCTATTTCTCATGGAGCTAGATATAAAATGTAGGCATAACTATTTGTGGCATCAGTGTTTAAAATTTATATTGTCTTCCAAATGTGAATTTGCTTTGAATGTATGAAGTTTCTGTCAGTTAAAATGACATATATCTATTTTCAGATGATGGTTTTAGTTTTGTTTCAGTTGTATAGTGAAATGTTGCTTCTATAAGACAAATATTTGTAAAACTAGAATGCCAAGACCATATTGAAACAAAAAAGTCTTCTTCACCGTGAATCTTTGATAGAAGACTGTTTCAAGCACTTCTGCTAACTTTATAGGAGTGCTGTTGGTTTGCAAACCAAAAATAATCTCTTCACGTGGTTTTTTAATAAATTACTTTGTGGTGTCTCATACAGCCACACGGTAATACATAATTGTGCCCTTGGCATTAAGGAAATTTTTGACAGTGGATTTTCTTAGTAATTTTATTTATTTTATAAAGCTGTATTGGGAAGTAAGAAACCACATGAACAAGCACAAAGCATTCTCATTCAGCAGCATGGGACAGTACAGTGGCGAAAAGAGACTTAGCAGTAATAAATTACAGCTATGAAATTTCTTTATAAAAAGGGAAAAATAAAGAACAAATCTTGCTCTTAGAATCTGTTGTAATACTACTGCACACATTGTTTAAAAAGGGAGAGGAAGAGGGAGAATAGTGTCCTGGGTGCCTCTTCCCAAACCATCAGGCTGATTTAGTCAAAATGGCTTCCAGACCTTAATTTAGATACAAATAAAGGCGAAGGGATGGAATTCCACTGTTTCGGATTGTGACAGCTTGAAAGCATTTTTCAAGAGCTTTCTAGAAACATTTGTTTTCGAATGCACTGTATGTGAGATGTTTGGATAATTGGCTTTCAGCTTTTTTAGTTTCTGTCTTGCTGCATTAAGACTGCCACCTCTGGGAATAAATACTTAGTGCTGGGGGACACTTGTTTTTAGGGTAGGCCTTGCAACACATAATAAGCATTTTTGGCTCATAAAGACTATACTGGGAAGATAACACTAATTTGATGAAAATTGTAGCTTTGATTTTATTATTTCCCTTTGCCATATTTCATTAGAAAGATAGACTGAACAGTCAAAAATAACTGTGTGTCACAGCCAACTGTTTTCTGTTCAAATAAATCACATTTTCCATGTGATGTTTTAATGATGTATTTATTTTGCAAATCAAGGGAAGAATGTTTATAGCGTAGCAATCATATTTTCAGAGATGGATTCTAGTTTGAATGTTGTTATCCAGGCAAAGAGAGTATGGCCTGTGCTTGAAGTCCTCTCATTCAGCTTTTAGCAAAAAGTTTGAATACACAAGCATATCCATTTTGTAAACAGTAAGACTTTCCTTGAGTGTTCCAGTACAAAGGCTTTCCACATACATGAGTAAAAATGGAAATTTTACTGTAAGTCAGGTATTCTTGCTTTCATTAACAGATGATCTCTTCCCATGCACGTCATGGTCTTGGCAATGTGTGTTTAATGGCATTAGTGCTCCTACAGAGTCTTTTGTACCAAGGATGGCTGCAGCTTCAGAGCAAGATGTGAAATGAGCTTAAATAGGCATCTTAAGGTTGTTTTTTTTCACCATCCTGACAAAGGAGCTAGTGCATAAACTTTTAGTGCAACTGCCTTCAATTTCCTTTTAGCAGCATTTTCACTAATTTATTTTATATGTTAATATTCAGTAGTCAAACCTGTCTGCACTGTGAGTAGAATAAAATCTGTAGTGAATAAAAATAATCAGGCAGTAATACCTATGATTGCCATGTGGCCTAGGTGATAAAGTTATTAGGAAGAATTATTTGAATGTTTATGCATCTGAGGAGGAAGAGTCTCTCTCTGCACATTGTAACAGGATGTGCATTTAAAGATTCTAAGGCGTTTAAACGAATGGTTCTTTCTTGAAAAGCTGGATTTTTAGATTTGTTTTTTTAGGTAAAATGGGGCTCTTTCCAGGTGTCAGAACAGTGAGAATATGTAAGTAGATTCTAACTCCTGTTGTAAGCAGGAAAATGGGCCAGAAGAATCTGGTGTTGTGAAATCAACTAGAGTAGAAAACAAGACATCTTGTCTCTCTCTTGGGTAAGCTGAGAAAGGTGTTTATTTGCTGAAATTAGAACAAACTCAACATGTTTGCATGATATATACATATTTTCTACAATAATTAAGCTGTCATTGTAGGTCTGTTTATAGAAGGCCTGTACACATGGTTGTTCAGATTGTTGCCAGTGTCTTTGGTTCTTTGGTATTTTGAAATCAGAGCAATTGTTTTTCCTAGTTTAATAGCTAAGAATAGGAAAATATTTTGGAGCAGAAAAGTAATTAACTCTCTGTTCCCAAGTCCTGGAAGAGTATGAAGGGCATCAGGAATTTCACCAGGCTGAAATATAGATCTGACTTGTTTTTCTGAGCAATTTCTTAATCTCATTCTAGCTGTAATATTTAGGACTGCAGTTTTTTGTTCTTAAGTTTGAACTTACTCTGTCTTGGCAATTTAGATTTTCTTTTTTGTATGTGTTTAAGTAATACACAAAGCTTTTTAATATGTTTTTTATATTTAAAAGTGCATTAAAATATATAAAAAGGCCCAGAGATGCTAATTTGCATAGTCACTGTCAAGTTGAACTAAATTACTTTTCCATTTGAACTAACTGGGTATTGTATAAATTTTACAGGTGCACATGTGAATGAAGAGGACTTCTTATTGTTGGAGCTTTTGGACTGGTTTAAGACTTCCTTTTTTCATTGGGTAAATAGTCTTCCTTGCAGCAGGTGTGGTGGGCAGACAGAACCTAAAAGTGACTACCTGTTGCCTACTGATGATGATCTAAGGTGGGATGCCAGTCGAGTGGAAAACCATTACTGCAACCAGTGTCAGCTCTGTAATAGATTCCCAAGGTGAGCATACAGAAACTTGCTCTCTTTTTTTCTTTCAAGAAACAGCTTTGTATTTGTGCATTTGGTGAACAGGTGAGAAGTTGTTTGTTCAGAGAATAGAGAAGCTCTTTTTAACTAACAAAATAGAATGTTTGATGAATCAGCAATTTCTCTGCAAGAACTGAGATTTTTAAAAACAATATGTGCTTTCTCTTATGTGGACTTGTTCTGAATACTTGTCTGGCTTGTTTGGGGATTTTTAATTTTAATTTGATGAACTACAGCTTCTAAATAAAATATGTTAATACTGGCAACTATATGTAGGTAGTGTTTTGTTATTGCAGAGAACTTCACTTCTGCGGGAAATCACAGTGTAAGATACGTATTTTGCTGAGTCTGTAGCAGAAGAGCAAATGTACAATTTATTTATACTTTTGTGACATTTAGACATTTTGCTAAGTACTTAAAGGACCAGGATAAAAGTCATATTTTAAGATGTCTAAATCAATTTTGAAAACTTAACCAGATTCATTTCTCTGCTGCTATAAATATATGATGGAGTCATGTGAGTTGAGGTATCATTCTGCTTAGATGTACTTTGTGCAGTACAGCAATTATTTCCATTATCTTCTGTGGACTGATTGATACTGAAGTCTGTTCAGATCATCAGAACACGATGTAAAGGTTTCTGAAAAGGGAAATGTATTTTCAATTGTTCTTGTTTTGTGTTGTTTTTCTCCTGTAGGTATAACAACCCTGAAAAACTTCTGGAAACCAGACGTGGACGCTGTGGCGAGTGGGCCAACTGTTTTACACTGTGCTGCAGAGCTGTAGGGTTTGAAGCAAGATACGTCTGGGACCATACAGGTATCAGTATCTGGAGTATTGTAACGTTAATACAAAGCTGTGCAAAAGGAGGTTGTGCATTTTATGTCTCTCAGATCACATTAGCCATCAGGCAGTGTGTGTAGTTATGCAGTCAGCTTACAAAGACAATATACATTCAATTTCCTGTTTTGCCTGCTAAGATGAAATACAGCTCTGCAAGTAAGATTAGATGACTGACTTTGGAATGATACAATCTTTAGCTGAATGTAAGGGACTGTGATCATAAGGAAGGGGAAGCTTTGGTAATGTTTCTATATGTAGATGAACAGAAAGCATGTTCTTTCACCCGTTCCTTCATTTAATAAATTGGAAAAAGTTACAATATTCTGCAAGATTAGAATAGAGGCCCTATCTTTATAAGTCATTGTTTATTCTTGACTTTTGTTACATAGATCATGTGTGGACTGAAGTATATTCTTCATCCCAGAAAAGATGGCTTCACTGTGATCCTTGTGAAAATGTCTGTGATAAGCCTCTTCTCTATGAAACTGGCTGGGGAAAGAAGCTCTCCTACATAATTGCATTCTCCAAAGATGAGGTAGGAGTAATGATGCTAAGAATAAACAAACTTGCCCTGAAGGAAGCATGCAATGTATTCCACCTTGGTGTGGTTTTCAGAATTATTGTAGAAAAGCATATTTTTATTACTAGCCTCTTTAAATGAAGCAAGATACGTGGAAATTTTTGGTTGCTTTATTTTCTTCCACTTGTGCTTGAGGTGGTAGATGTCACCTGGAGATACAGCTGTAAACATGAAGAAGTACTCTCTAGAAGGACGGCACTCAGCGAAGCTACGCTGCGAGAGACAATTAATGCACTAAATAGAACGGTATGTCACTTTTCTTCAGTGGGTTTCTGACACTGAAACACAAGTATCTGCAGAATGTGAAGTCCTCAAGCAAAGGAATGCATTTGGTAACCTCACAGGAATATCCATGCACCATGGATAGTAAAAAATGCTGTTAATTACCCATTTTAACCTGAATTCATACAAATCAGTCACAGTTCTGAACTTATGAGAAATAAGATAAATAAAGGTATGTGAGATTATTATCATAATTATCTCTTACATACACAGATGTGTGTGTATCTATTGTTTTTCTTAGGGACTTTGGAGCAGACTTATACTTGCTGGGAGTAAACTGCAACTCCTTAGTAACTATGTGGACTCCTTCAGGGTGACTGAATGTTTTCCACATCAGGACTGCTATAACTTGAAAACAGTGGCATTTACTGTTGTAAGAAATGCAGGTTTGATTTTCTTTCAATGACTTTTTACAAGCTCTAGGAAGTGAGAGGAGTGATTCCTGGGCTGTTTCCATGACTTCCAAAAGGTGTTGATACCATCAGCAGAGCTTTGACTCAGAGCCACATGTATTTACACTGTTCATGTTTAACATCCCCAAAATACAAGGAGCCATTTGCACCTGCATGTCATGGTTGCAGAACTTCTCTGCTAAGCTTTTTCCAGTCTCTACCTGGGACACCATGAACTTGATTCAATATACTAGAATACCATAAAAACTTTTAACCATCTTGAGGTTTCCATTTTGTCCTCCCTTCCCATGCATGGAAACCTTAGTTCCAATGTAGTATACAGCTGATGACTTAAAAACAGATTATGCTTTTTCTGAGGCCTGCTGGCTTGAGAGTTATAGCCATACATTAAGACTGTGAATAACTGAGCTGGACTAATACTTTTGAGACCAATGTTTGAAATAATTTTAACAGCAGTGAAAAATTAAGAGTCACGGAGCGGAGCACAGAGAAGAGTAACCAGAGCATCAAAGTGTTTAAAGGAAATTGTGGATTGGTGTTGTTAATTTAGGATAAACCATATCAAGCTTCCTCTGAGCTGGGGCAAGATCAGCAGTGCTGCATAGGGATATCCTAAGTGTCAGGGCAACTGTTAGACTCAGGTAGGCCTGATGTTTCATGGAAAACTGCTGCAACCACTGGTTGTCATCCATCAACACAAGCAGAGGTGTGTTTCCCCTCCCGTGCTGTGTCAGAACTGCTATTTGGCATCTGGAATTTATTCAGCTGGAGCTGTTTCTCATAATTTCTCTGTATCTGCTTCCCTTTATACAGTTCCACATTGTTGTCTGGAACAAAAAAAGTCTTCAAATGTTTCTTTTGTGTAATCTCACAAAAGAATTTTTTGAGATTACACAAAACTTGCTGGGGTCAGAACTGCCTTTGAGATAATTGAAATGCTTATCAGCCTCAAGTTTCAGGTCCCAGTGAGCTGAGTATGCATGCCTTGGATGATGACCAAACTGGAAAAAAAGATGTGTGTAATAATTTACATACTCAATGTTGAACATTTTTCAGCCCTATGCGGGTTTATCCACAGTTAAAGAAACGAAAGGCTTCACATTCCAGATTTGTATATTTGATATGAAGATAATGTAGACAAAATACTAACACCTCAATAAAATTTTTAGAAGTTGTTTACCAAAAATTGCTCATAGTTCTATTCATGTAGGCAAAGACATGTAATTTTTTTGCTTTTCACTAATTTTTCTGGAACTAAGGTTTTCTTAATTTTCTGACATCTGAAAAACAGATGCAATGGTTTGTTTATGACTAAATCAGTGAAATAATGCTTTCAAAGATTTTTGTTTGGGCTTACTCACAAAACCAAAACTGTTGCCAACCAAACCATTCCACCTTAGAGAAGAAAAATTTGACCACAAATGATTCTTGCCTTCTCTTTCCTTCAAATAATATTGAGAATGGCTATGGTACAGTATACATATGAGTAGCTATAAAAACTGTTATGGAAGTGTTTTATTGTCCAAATTTATTGTCCAAATAAATGTATTAAAAACGAAGCACAAACATTATTTTAAAAGAATTCCACATAGTGCCCACAAGTTCCTAGAGAAAGCACTGCTGTCACATAACTGTGTGCTTATGACTGGTTTGTATTTGTGTCAGTGGTATAAGATGAATGTTTCTAACAATCAGTCTAGACTTTAAATGCTAATCCATTTTTCAATTCTATTTTTCCCTGTTGGTGTCACTCTAGAGCAGAATTACAAATACCATTTTTTTCTGAATGTTTTCTTTTTTCCTAAATGTCTTTTTTCAGAGACAAAAGTCTTTGTCAGAAAATAGAAAAAAAGAGCTCCTGGAAAGGACTATTGTGGAGCTTGTTGAGTTTATTTCTCCTAAAACACCTAAACCTGGAGAATATGGTGGAAGGACATCAGGCTCAATGGCTTGGCGAGTAGCCAGAGGTGAAATTGGTCCAGAGGTATTTAACTTTTACACTGATGACCATCTTAGACGTAGCTAACTGAGGCTTTGTGTTCGTGGTCTGTAAAAACAAACAAAAAAAGACACTTCATGGTAGCTAGCCAGATTCAGCTCAAACAAGTGAATCTTGTGAAAACATGAGGTGAAAGTTTGATGTGAATTCAGTAGAGGTCCACAAGTAATTTCTGAGAATTGATGGTGGTCTCTGGATTCTAATAATGTTTGGGACTTCTTGATATAAAGCGTGTTTTGTTCTTAAAAGTTAAAATACTTTTTTCATTTAAGTTAGGTAGTTTGACAGAACTATAAAGTTCTGTATTTTTTAGTTGAAAAAATTTGGGAAAATTGTAAAAAATTTTTGTGTTTGTATTATTAGTTACTTCCAGATCTTAACCAATAGTAGGTTTTGGCCAACTATTTTTGTTAATAAAATGAGGGAGCAATTACAATTGTGTAAATTAAGCAATCTCTTAAATAATAAGCTTTATTGATTTTCACATCAGTATTTGTTTACTGTTTCCAAAAGCAAGGCTTGACTTCTTTGCTAAGATACGGTTTCCCTGAACCATAATAATATTTAGCTTGTGTCAGGATGCAAAGATGTGACCTCAGTTTTGTACCAATGCCAGCATGTGAAATGTTTAACTGTCCTGAACAGAAACAGTTAAGTGAAAGTAATGAGCTTCTTAAGAGATTATCTTAGTTTGAGAAACTAATTGTTTATTGCAGTTCTCTGTTGTTTGGAAGACTTAATTTCTGAAACTCATAAGAACAATGACTTTTTTTTAAAGTAATACTGTGAAGTTACAAAGTTTGTACTTTTAAGTTTTTTGAAGTTGATTTGTAAACTGGCATACACAAACAAACCTTTATGTGGGTGTCACAGGTTTGCTATTCAAAATAACCATTTACTTATTCACTGTACAAGCAACGTACTCAACATATAAATTTTCTGAAACACTAATTTCTTACTTAAATGATAGTCTTTCATGTTAGTTTGTGAAAAATTACTTCTAAAAGTAACTATTGGAAAATTTTAAAAATAAAATTACTCCTCTCTTCTGGAAAAGCTGCAACTGTGCTGTAGGAACTGATTTAAAAGTTTTGTGCATGACCTCTTTTTAAAAAAACTTGGGTTTTTTTCACTTGGAAGCAAAACTGAATTGCAAAACTGTGACCTACTGTTTAGAAGTAATATAGTCTTAAGGGAATTTAGGCATTGGGGAATTAAGGTGCTTGTATGTTTTGGCTTTTTTTCAGAAAAGAAAAGAAGTAGTTTTTATTCCCTCTGAAAAGGAGAAGACATCTAAACTGTTCCATCTCGTCTACAATGTAATAGATGATAGTTATACACGCATTTCCAATAACAATGAAAAAATAAGTGGCTGGGAAGCAGGTGTTTGGAAGGCAGAATCTATTTGCAGAAAGGTTGAAACAGATTGGAAAATGGTAAGAATAGCAATTATTAAAAGCCTGTAATGTACAGTAAAATTATGATAACTCCAGTAAAACAGAAAACCCTTGCCAATGTTTGGATTCAAAACCTCTCTTGGTGCCCATAGAATTTAGCTGATGTTAGTAAATGCTGTTGTTAAGATTCAGTAAGATTGCCAAGAAATTAGAAATAAATTTAACTTGTCTTTCAGAAAGGATGATTGAATTCTCTGCAGGTAGGTAAAATTCTTGCCAGAACGCCAAATTTGTAAAATGGCTTCCTTCTTAGGCTTGTGGGAAAATGCTGCTTTATTGAAAAGCAGTACTTGTCTCAAAATAAAACAGGGTGTTTGTTTTTTTAAGAATAGTTTTATAGTATTAGATCGCTTTTATGTACAGCCAAAGGAAGAAATTGTCATCCTAAATAATACAATTTCATCTATAAAAAGACAAAAACCTGTCAGTGATCCAGAATATTGGATACCCTGCCCAGAATCCTTCCCTAGTGTCAGGACTGAGCAACACGAGTCATAGGCTCTAAATCTAAGATAATTGCTACCTGTGGAGTGGGAAGGGGTCATGTACTAGCAAACAGCTTTTTCCCACCACAGCAACCAACTGTGCAGCTGAACATTCTTGTCAGGGACTAGAGCATGTTACTGCCTTTTTCCTCTGTCATTTTAGTAGTCTGAAGACTCTCTGACCAAATGTTCTTCTAGCTTCCCTTTGATAAAAATGAAGCCAAGTATGTATCTGCCTCTTGAGATTTTCTCTCCTGGATCTGTACATAACTGACTTGCAAAATGCAGTGGGGGAATTACTTGAATAGTCTATGCTGCCCTAAAGACAGAGAGTAAGGAAAGAAACGGGGGAATAGTACACAAGATGTCACACTTAATAGTAAAAGAGAAATAACAAAAACTCAGAGTAAGGAACAGATGTTCTCTGCTTCCCCAGGATCTGCTAAAAATCTGATACTATATTATGTTTGCAATTCTGCCTCACTTTTGCGAGAAACATGCTGTCCTTGTGCTGAAGCTAAACTACAATTTTTCTCAGCTCTACTTATCACATAAGACAGGGTGGGACTGATTTATTAAACCAGGCAAAAAGACTTCATTTACCCTTGTATTCAGTAACACCTCAAAAGGATGAGATGATGGTGTTGAGAAATTAGTAGCTATGACTCCAGGTCTCTCTCAGACTTGTGGGTAATGTTAGTTCTGCAGATTTGCATCCTGCAGAAAGTGTGTAAGAATCTTAGAATTTAAAATCACTTTTCCTTTGGGTGCTGTTTGTATAATGGGAGATAACAGCAGAGGGAAAGGTTGTTTGAGGTTTGCCTTTTCTTTTCGTACAAGATGCCGCTTTGGAGTTTGATTCAGCAGCTGTCCCAGAACTTAAAAGCCAAAGGAACCTTTACAGTAATACTTAGTTAACATTTATCATGTGATGAATGGAAAAGCATTTAAATCTAAAAGCCACGGAAAGTGTATCTGTAAGTATTAGATGAAGAGTAACAGAAAATAACCACTTGGTTTTATGGTACACAATGCAAACAGGTGCAAACCACAGATTGTTTCAGATTACCCAGAGACAACCTGGTATCCAGGACTCAAACTGGCAGACCACAGTAGGTGATAGTAATAGTGTAAGAACCTATAGATCTGCAATCCATGGACTTGTGAAAGGCTTGTTTTCCAGAACAATTGCTGCACTGGAAGAGAATTTGAATGAGTTGGTTGGTTAGTTAGGTTTTTCCTCTGAATTCAGACATTTTTTCAAATAACAGTAGAAACAAAACAACTGAGTTTGAAAGTTAGAGGAAAGTCAAAAATACTAGAGGAAAGTCAAAAACACACAAAAGAAAACTTTAAATTCTTTTTTTCTGATTAAGTGTTTGGATATTATCATGAAAGATGAAACAGACTAATGTTTGAGGCTTTTTCAAAAGCATTTCAACCAAGTAGTATTTAATGGGGTATTTTGGCTTCCTTACTCAAATACAGCAGTTCAGTAGGATCTGATCAAGGGAAAGCTCTTGCTAGAACTGGCTGAGATAGTTAAAATGTGTGAAGGTCAGCACCTTAATGAACATTGGAATTACATTCAGATGAAAACAGCTTAAATCATTACATTTTCATAGGTGATCTTCAGTGTAAGACCTCACAACTTTAGGGGTTTTGAGCTTTCTTCAATGTGAAAATAGTAACACTAAAATTTTGTTTAACATTCTGTCAATTACATTTCTATATTAGGGTGGGATGTTTAGTAAAACAAACTGCTGTGTTGTATTATCATTTTATTCTGGTTTGTTCTCTCAAGATTAAAAAATGAAGAGCTGACTAAGTCCACTCAATATGATATTAATCAGAAGCTTGGACATGACAGAATTTTTATTAATTCAGGATTCCAAAAGGATCGTGGTCATTTGGACTCTTTAATCTGTAGTGTTCTGTTATTTAGGTTTGCTGATGATAGATGTTGGACTTGAAAGAACTGTCAGGCACTTGTGCCCAAATTCTTGAGAGGGTTCATAGTAACTTGAATGAATGTTAATATGTGAGCGTGGCTGTTCAGCTAGGTGAAGTTCAGGACAGCATTGGGACTAAATTAAATTATACAAAGTTGTAACAGGTCAAATAATGCTAAAATGGGATTTATAAATGGCTGGCATGTATGATTTGCTTTAACTGAGGCACATCGAGTCCTAGGAGAAGCAGTATGCAGCCACAGCTGAAGAAGCTACTGATTGCACTGTTCTTTTCATCAACAATACTGAATAACTGAAGTGATATGTGCTTTTAAAAAGACCCTGGATTCTCCTTCTTTAAAAAATTATAATCTTTAGGTGTTTTTGTGGCTTGAACTTTACTATGGATGTTGAAATAGTTTAGTTCCCTAGCAAGGGGCAGTGAACATGTACAGTTACCTAACTGTGGAATATACTTAGGCATGAAGAAAGAGGTTTTTTATATAAAATTGTACCTTGTACAGTTTTAAAGGTTCAGAGGCTTGACAAAGAATAAAAGTGTGTTGTCCTAAGATTTTTGTCCTTGTTATGAGGATTAATTTGATGTGTGTTGGCTGTCTCAGTTTTTGACATGCTGGTTGTCTCCTTTCTGTATAGGTTTATTTAGCCCGAAAAGAGGGGTCATCCTCTGCTTCCATCAGTTGGAAGTTTGAGTGCAAGTCAGTCGGTCTAAAAATAGATAACATTTCTGTTAGGACAAGCAGTCAAACATTTCAGAGTGGAAGAATACAGTGGAGACTTCACTCTCCTACAGCGGAAATTGCTCTGATAGGAGGTAAGTGTGGAATTTAAATAATGAATTATATAATGTAGCAGAGGTGTTACTGGAAATAAATAGTTTATATGGAGAGAGTACTGTGCAAACACTAAAAACAAAATATGAACATTCTTTACTTTTCCAACAGTGTTTCTTAGCAAGGTCAAGAAAATACTGTGCATTTAATTAAAGCTGGTATAAAACTCAGTTTTATTAATATACACAGCCCTACCTGCAACAGAGCAAGGCAAGCAAGAACACAGAGTGAATACAAGATACTTGTGCTTTACTAGGAAGGATAGATGCTTCTGTGTCTGGGTGGCAAATGAATCTGAGTAGTTGCAACTGAGATCATTAAACATCCATTACAACTTAGCATTTTTGACGTGCACTCTATTATTATATACTGTCTGGAGCTGTGGCTTACTGAATTTTATCTCTTTTCCTCCAATAGATAAAAATCTTTGCTCCTATTCAGATTTTTCTGGAGCAACGGAGGTTATGTTGGAAGCGGTTCTAAATGGAGGGGATGGTGAAGCTGCATGGCAACACACACAGCTGTTTAGAGAGAGCTTGACAGGATGTGGGGAAAATGGCTTGGAGATAATGATAAAACTCAGTGACCTCTGAGAATCTGAGCTGCAGAAATGTACTTTGGATTCCTTGAAGACGTTATACCATGGATACAACATGAAGATTTGCTTGGCAATTCCTCTTCATCCTGTTGGCAGATTATTTCCTGTTTCACTGCTTCCATTAAACCAACTTGAAACTGCACGTGTATTGAATAGGTAAACATTACAATGAAAACATCTTTGCTGTAAAAACAAACACAAAAATTAAGGGATTAAACCATAAAGTACCCTTTTCTTAAACTTTACGATGAAAAGGAAACAATTTTTAAGAAGCAAAACGTGATCATAGAAGCACAAAGCAATTGTAATTGATTTTAATTTGGAGTTTTGGGATTGGCTTGCTGGTTGTTTTTTTTTTTGTTTTTATAGTCTACTGGGAAAAAGTAGATTAAAACAGATTGAATTCTGTTTTCCAATTATAACAGATGCTTCTGATGATTTTGAAATATTTTAAATGATGTTAGAGAATTTAGACATTTCTTTAAAAATTTGATTTTGTGTAGTATCCGGAATAAGTTAATTTCAATATTGCTTCAAAATTGCCTTGTTAGATGTCTAAGTATTAAACCTCTGTTTAATACCTAGAGCTATTTGGAAGCATGGTGGTTGCTGGGAAAATAACCTCATTTTGAAAGAAGTGTTCATTATCTCCCTAAAATTGTCATAGCCTGTGTTTATGAAATTGAGGCTTAAAACTGAGTAAGAACATCATATTTTTTTCTATGAAAAAATAGGTTATTCATTATAAATACTTTTAATGATATTAATTCGGATTTGCTTAATAAATCTTTTAAAAGTTAGGCATGTAGGTTGAAATCCTTTTAAGCTGTTGTCTTGACTTGCTTTAAATACTCTTCCCAAATTTGATGTTAAAGTATATACATTTTTTTCTGTTCAATTAATTCAGTGTTTAAATTTATTTTCAGTCAATATAATAAAAAATTCTATCCAGGAGACATCAGATGTTGCAGTGCTATGAATAAAACATGGAGTGAATGTTCAGATTAGATGGTCTTTATCAGAATGTGAGGAAGGCCTTACCTGGATTATACAAGAGATATTCTAATATAGAACTAAAATGCAAAGTTCAAACTATGGTTTTATTTTTAAATAAGTGAGAATTAAGGATGATGCTCTCAAGATCAGTGTTTTTAAAGTTTTTCTTCCTTTTTCTGATCTTTCCAACCTCTGTATTGATTTGAAGTGTTTGTCGAAAATAATTTATGTTGAAATAAATGTTTGCTGACCTTTCAACAAATCTAAGCAAATATAAAACTATTCAGATTTTATTAGAAAACTGCATATGCACAGTGAACAGAGGAATCTTTAAAAATAGTAGATTATGGCAGCTCAGAAGTGACAGAACAATGGTGATGGATTATATACTTTGCTTCAGAATATAAATGGACAGTTTATGAGGGGAATTAGAGGAGTCTCCCCCATAACACAGATAAACAGAGTGACAGGGTACTTATTGTATTGTATACACTGGAAGGGTGTTTATCAGTGCTTGACTAACGCAAAGTGAATTTGCCAGTCTCCATTTAAAACTTCTGCATTTGGTTTCAGTTAAACACTTTTTCTGAAATTTTGAGTGGGAACCCAACAGAAGAATATTTTAGGTGAATATGGGTACTACCTTGTAAGAAAAAAGGAAGACAACTCAGGTGCCACCAATCAACAAAAGTGTTTCCACTTAATATTTTGATAGCTGAAAAAGTTACTGCTTTAAAGCAGAAATTTTTTTTGTAGTGTAGTACTTAGAGGACCTTGAGGAATTGCAGAATTCCTTAACTGCATCTGGTAATGTGAAACAAGAAGGCAAAGTATATTTAAAAATATTAAGTCAAAGTAATTTTCTCATAATTTTGGTAAGAATCTCTGGGGGAAGAGTAATAGCTGTAGATAATTTCAAACAGTAAAGTAATTGAAGTCCATTTTTAAATAGTTTGAATGAATTAAAAAGATGGAAAAATGCCTTGCCAGTCTAATTAATCAAGAAGTACTTCTGTATTTATAAGATCACATGATCATGTTCACAATGAACAGAAGTGCTTATTTTAGGAAAAAATTAATAAGTAAAACCCTCACACTGAATAGAGGTAATATGAAAAATTTAAATGGAACTCCTTCAATTGTCTTTTGGAGTACCCTATAAACAATGAACACTTTTAATCTCCTCACACATAAGCTCCTTTTAAAGGCATTTTCCTCTAATTTCCACTAATTTCCTCTGTTGATCTCCACTTCAGCCCAGCTTTTAATACATTTTAAATTTATTTTTTTTAAAACCACAGGTAATTCGTCATCCACAGTTGTTTAATGTTAACTTACAGTATCCTGATCCTGATTATCCTGAATTTGCAGTATTACATGGTGGGAAGATCTGTGCTGCTCTAATTCTGCTCTGAAAGTGTGGTTATTAAGTTATGCTGGCAATGGTACAATACTGGGTGTGTGGTAGATGGGGATCAGGGCACGTGTAGATAGAAGTCAGTGCTTACTCAACTTTTTAGAAGTTTGAGGAGGTGGAGATTAAATGGGGAAATTAAAAATACTGTTGCCTAGAAATATATGGCTTAATACAGGTAAAATCAGCAATGTTTCTAGAATCCAGCTTAGTCAGGTACATTTTAAAGAACATCTGGCTGTCCCCTGTGCCATCTGTGGGTGCCTTCCAAGGTTGCACTTTTCCATGAAAAGTTTACATAAATACTATACTACCCAGTTAATGCTTGCAAACTAATTCTGGGTGCATGGTTTCTAACAGAACTATGTGGGAACAGAGAATTCCTCCTTTCAAACAAGTATTTGTTGTGCTGTTGTCTGTCTAGCGTTGTTTGTCCAGCTGTTGATTTCTTCATATCCTGTTTTGACACTTAATGCTTAGTAATTTCCTGCACCCCAGGAAGTTGCTGGGAAGATGTATCCTTAAAATATATGAAGGAAGCCCCTTCTAGGCAGTGTAGAAAGAAACAAGAGGTACGATGCACTGCTATGTAGGAATCAAACAAACTTCAGTGTAAATTATATAACTTATAATGACAAGTAAGTAGTGAAAATTATCTTATCTGATCTCATAGGAAAATCTGTCTCCTTAACTCATTTGTTAACACTGGAAGATTTTTCACATATAGTGGGTTGGATTTAAGATACAATCCTTATTACGTGCAACATCAGGAAATGTAGAACACTAAAAATAAAGTGTGTTTGTCTCCATAGTGCGGTGGAATGAAAACAGATGGCAGGCAGCACATATGGCTGCCAGAAGCTGGGAACACCCATTTGCAGAGTTCTTGCAGTTCTAAACAAAACAAGCCAAAACAAAGGAACTCCAAGAGGGGCAGAGATTGTTCCAGGCAGATATCAGGATATCTGTCTCTTCTCCACACCCACACTCCTCATTTCTTTACCTCTGGTTGCTGAAGCTAGAAATGGAAGTAAGCTACCAGTTCAGAATTAAATGGACCTCCTTAGCATTTGTCAAAACCTAGCATTTCTTAAGTATAGGCATTATTTAAAATAAGCATCTGATTTCCACTGTAGGTTCAAGCATCTGGGTTTGGACAAAATTTGAAGTTTTGCCAGTGTTGTTCAGTCAATTCAACAACATAAAAAAGTGACAATATTGAAGGGACTTCTGTATCTCAGCTTCATATCATATGGAAGATTGAAAAGGGAAATTGCAGACACGTGCCTTCCTTAAATCCAGTTGCTAGCTTGGTCCTTTCTATGCTGTAGTATTTTGGGGGAATTTATTCAACATTATTTGCAGTAGTTCAGCTTACCTGGTGCTGCTTCTGAGGGTTCCTTATGGGGTACTGTTGTTGCAAGCAATGCTTTATGCCTTGTACCTTATGGCCTGTCTAAACAGTAATCAGCAATATAATGTGTAGTATGTGTGTCTATATGATCACTGGTCATATAGTTGCCAACATGAGCAGCAGGGAAGAGTAACAGCAGTAATACCTGGGACAGTTGGGGGGTTTTTATGCTAATCTTGGATATTTAATCCAAGCAGAAGAACAGTAGAGCAAAAAAAAAAAAGTGTCTTTAGTAGATTGAAAAAGTTCCTTCTTCACTTAAGTTTTTATTTCAGGAGTAGAATTTTGAGACCTCCCAGCCTATGTTATGGAACTTAGGAGTGACCAATTAACCAGCCAAGGTCAAATATATGTATTTTAGGTGTATGGGTATTATGAAGTGTGTCAAGGCTTAAATGTGGGTAAGATAAGTGATTTTCTCCATTGTTAGGACTTTTGTTTTTATTCTTTGGCTTGGGGGCTTTTTTTATGGTAGCTTTCATAGGTTTTCACTTTGTTTATGATTAGCCTGCTTCAGTTTTTACAGCTTTATTTTTTTCTCATCTAACTTAAAATACCTTTTAATTTACTTTAATTTATGTACACAGTTGCAGCTATACAGTAAATACTATGGAAAAAAAAAGGTTGATTTATTTATTTGGTAAAAGGAGATGAAAGGGATAGATTAAAAATATTCAAACTCAGCAGAAGAAAAAGCAATAGTAATTAAAATTGATGATGCCCAGAAACCAGTGAAGTTACCAGGACTTAATAAAATTTTATGGTGAAAGAAAATGTAATGGACTACATAAACTGATGCTGGCAAAAGTAGCTCCCAATGACTGACCCTGCTTTTGAGACCTTTTACTGTGTGGTTTTTTTATATTTATGTCCCTGAAAGTTTTTAGTAGAAGAAAATTGCTGGGACTAATGAACAGGGTTTTTTAAATCTGAGATTTAAGGAATATCTGAATTTAAATATTTTTTTATTTTTACTAGTTTAAGCTATAGAAAATATTTTAGAGTTAAGAATAAGATCCTACTTGTTATAGATCATTTGTTCGTTTGTTCCAATGAATAATATGGATCTTTGAGTTTGGAGGCAGTGTGTTTAGTGACATGTTGTATCCAGGAACTTTAGATCTGCATTAAGAATAGGATCCTACTTGTTATAGATCATTCATTCCAGTGAATAATATGGATCTTTGATTTTGGAGGCAGTGTGTTTAGTGACATGTTGTATCCAGGAACTTTAGATCTGCATTACCTGTAAGGATGTGAGATTTCAGAGTGGCTTTGAGCACCTGCTTAGCCTTGAAGGACTGAGCCTCCCATCAGAGGTCTTACAAACTGGGGGAAAGATGATTTCACTATGCATTTCAATGGTGATATTTCAGTGTATGCTCTGTTAACTTGATCCTTTTATTACATAATACTGAGTGTTATTTCATAGCCTAGGAACTTCAGTAATACTGTGTATTATCCTTGAAGTCCCAGGGGAACATATTTGCCCCACTGAAAATCATCAGCTAGCAGCTTATCTCTGTTGCAATCGAGGAAATGCTGGGCTTACTTTAGATGAGCAGTTTGGATAACAATATACAGACTGCCCTGTGGAACAGTCCTAAGGAAACTGGCTGACGTAAGAGAATGAAGACATCTGAGAGCACTGTTTAAGAAAACTCGAGCTAAAGTAGGTGGAACAGTTGGTCACAGTGTCTTAGAGCAAATGGAGCAGCAAAGTACAGAAGGGAAGGAGAGAGCCTCACTTCTTGCCTCTGCATTAAAGCCACTGTGAAGAGAAGGATGGAGGTAATGGAATGTTTGTGTCTCCATGCTTGCGTTGTATCAGAAGTCAATGTAACATAGTTAAGCTGCAGCAGCTTTCACTTTCAGCCAAACTGCCAGGGAATGCATGGTGTATTAAAAAGCAAAGTTCACTACTGGCAAAAATGATGTAAAATTTTATGGGCCAAAAAGGAAGTGCCTGGTTTTGGACTGCATTAAGAATTGTGGTGCTGTCCTGGTTTGGTTTAGTATGAAGCATGCCCAAAACTGGTTTTGATTTCTGCTTTCTTTTGTTAGGTTGTGTAGGTTGGAGTTTCTGCCTGAGTATGCTAACTGATTTCCATGATGTTGGCAATAATGCTTTAAAAGAAAACAGTCCTGGTTCCCCTCCGCCCTGCCCCAAAAAATCTAAAACAAAACATTCAAGCATGCCCAAAACTGGTTTTGATTTCTGCTTTCTTTTGTTAGGTTGTGTAGGTTGGAGTTTCTGCCTGAGTATGCTGATTTCCATGATGTTGGCAATAATGCTTTAAAAGAAAACAGTCCTGGTTCCCCTCCGCCCTGCCCCAAAAAATCTAAAACAAAACATTCAAAATGAAAAATAAAAACACCCCTACTAAGGATGTGGGAGAACAAACAGGAAGTGTTAGTGGCTGTAGTTTAATTTTAGCTCTGGAGGATGGAAAAAAGTTAATATCAATGCTGATTAATGAATGTCAAATTGGCATCATTTGGGGGATTGTTTAGAAAAGCTGATTGTTTCCCTTTTTCTTTAATAAACCAAATATTCTTTAAAGGAATTTGTATCATCATGGAGCCTTTCAAAACAGAACCTTAGGAAGTTCTCACCCAAGTGTCAGTACTATGCATGATCTGCCTTTATAAGTTATATTATTAGTCATATTGATTCTTCCTCTACATTTCAAAGTCTGATAATGGTATTTTTATTTTTAAAATAGAAGTCCATTTTTGTTTTTTTAGTAAAGGTGAAACCCTGAAGTTCATATTTAGTGCAATAGACATTTCAATTTTTCTTGACTCTACACTCAAACTATATGCTCTGCAACTTCGTTTTGTAGTTTTATTTCATGTTTTAAGGCTTGCTAATAATTCATATTTGTACACCAGCTTATTGATGAAAAAAAACCAAAACAGAGTGACAGAAACATGTGAAGAAATGGGCTTTCAAGCAGACACATCATAAGAATAATTTTCTGAAGTCACAGAAACTTACATGCGTTTCTGGCCCACAGAAATAAAATCTGTGATAGGAAACAAACTAAGAAACACTTGCCAGAATACATTTACCCTTTTCTACTTTTGATTTCCTTTATTTCACATACAGGACTGATGTGAGGAAATTCAGCCTTTTGTCAGTATTCAGTGAAAAATACCAAGTCCGTCTGTGAACAGAGCATGGAGACAACATGTATGCAAGTGAAAGAGTGGCTGAAAGATTTTGGATGTGGAAAAAATAATATTCATTTCTAAAGATTGAGATTTACTGGCGTGTGATAACCAATTCAGTGGAAATCAACTAGAACCTATTCCCATCTGTGAACAGGAGACAACATGTATGCAAGTGAAAGAGTGGCTGAAAGATTTTGGATGTGGAAAAAATAATATTAACATTTCTAAAGATTGAGATTTACTGGCGTGTGATAACCAATTCAGTGGAAATCAACTAGAACCTATTCTGTACCAAGGATTAAATATTAAATCCATAACTGGGGAATATTTTATTTTGAAAGTTGTATGGAAGGGACACTCCAGTCATGTAGTGCTTGTGGGTGGAGCAGGAGTAACTACAAGCAGAAGTGGTCAGTGCATTTTGTGTTTAACACACATTAGAATGAGAAAACCAGGACTAGCACGTGGTAGCATTACCTATATGAGTGTGAGATGGAGGGATTCTACAGTGAAACATAAGCAGATGTTTTGTCCATCTTTTGGAAGATTCCTTTGTTTAACATATGAGATCAGCTGTCTCCTGGGATAACCCTCAATGTTGTCTTTACTCTTAAGAGCCCTTCCAAATTTCCCTCTTTCTTATCTAGTGGTTTTTCATCCTTTGAAGCAGTGTCTGCAGTGGCAATCAAGGCAACTTCCCAGTGACTCATCGGTAACATCTGGAGGCTTCTGCTCCATCCCTGGATTCTGTCCTTTTCTCTCTTCCCTGGTGTATCACAGGCTGGTACCCCAACACCATACAGCCTCCATGTGTTCCCTAGTTTATGACAGCTGCTGTTCCCTCTCTGGTGGGCAGTGCGAGAAGCCATGAGGATGACAGCAGCATGGTCTGCTGAGGGAGTTTGTTGAATGTGGTCCTCTAAATTTACCACAGTCTTCATTGCTGGAAGATTTTGTTCATCTCTTTTATTTCCTACCTGCTTTTTCTGTTGTGTCATCATGTAGTGTCACCCCACTCCCCATGGCATATTCATAGCACAACTTAAGCCTCAGCCTCTGTCATTCCAGGAATGTTTATCTCTGGTATCTTCCTTTGTTCCCAGTATTGTTCTGGTTCCCAATAAGCCTACTGGCCACCAAGGGTAGCCTGCTATAGGCCTGGTAACATAGGCCTTTCCTCTCATCCTTTTGAGACCCCCTGTCATCCTGACAGTGAGCCTGAGAGGTGGTGTAGGGCCCACAAAGCATGGGAAAGTGAAGCAGCAGTCATTTTATGGGAAGGGTTTTAGGACCAACATTACAACCTAGTGTTTTGGTAGGTTTATGCATGTAATTCAAAAGGGCAGTTAGGATCCTGACCAAATTAAATAAGGAGATTTTACTGCATGAAGGAATTGCCATAGAAATTCAAATAACTGAATGAATGGCTATACATTTAGTTTGCATGCTGTGCTACAGGTGTCTGTTGTAAGGCTATAAATGCTGTTTATATATTCAATTTAACTCCAGAGAATAACCCAAACAAATGCTGAATTGAGAGCAATATTTTTATTTCATGTCTTTTTGAAAGATTAACTATTGCTTTTTATAAATATGCAAAGACCTGTAGGAGTGAAAATGCAAAGCGCAGCATTCACCCCATTAACATGCTAATTCATTTGGAAGGAACTGAAAAAGTAGTTTCACCTATTTTATTTGCATGTCCCTGCTAGTCTGTTACAGAACCTGTTAAGCCACCATGCCCGTGGCATAGTTAGCAACCCTGGAGGGAGCATCAACCTTGGGGATCGTGGGATGTCCCACCATGTACAGCATGGGAGTAGCATAGGTCAGGGGTGGGATGACAGGCACTGCAATCTTCCTGTTTGTGAAACACAGAGGAGTGATGATAAATGAGCAGGGCAGATTGAAGCAGGGAGCAGGAGGGAGTGCTGTGTTCCACGTGTACGCTCCTTTGGGAGAATGTCTGTTGTACCAGGCAGCTCGGGAGTGCTGTGTGCTGTGCCTGGCTAAGGAGATGTTTGCCTTTGTGGCTAAAAGCAGTCGTGCTGGTTTGGTGAAGCAACTCAGAGCTGAAGCATGTGCCATGGATTAAGTGTGAGTGCTGCAGCTTGTGCTGCGTTCCCATGGGTTGGTTAATGTGCCTGCCTCTGTGGCCCGTGACTGCTCTGTCTTTACTGTAATCAAAGAGCTGGCGTGGCTCAGGCTTTGCTGTGCTTCAGCAACAACTATCAGGAAAGAAAGCATTGTTTGCTCTGAATTCTCTGCACTTCTGCACAGCAACTCAAAATTAATAACTTTAATTATTTGGGAGAATGGACTGTTTGATTAGAAAGCTGAGGAAAGCTTTATGATTTGAGAATTAAATGCTGCAAAGAACCATTACATATGCAATTGATTTCTTAAACTTTAGCAATTCTATGATTCAAGTAATTTCATTGTGTTTTCAGCCTTTATGCTAGTGTGCTCTTTCATCTTCATTACTCATGTCCCAGAGAACTGAGCCCAACATATTTTGGGAGAAATGATAGAAAATGAGCAATTGAAAAAAAACAGGTTAACAAACCGGTGGAATTCTCACGCATGAGAACTAACAAATGACTTTTCAATAAATTAACTGTAAGATGTAAAGTAAAAAAGGAGCTTCCTTGCTTCTTACCACGAGTCACAAGAGAAATGAACTCAGCAGAAAAATGTCACATTTCAGTAGCATGTCCAACATGTCTCAAAGGGTACAAAACATAAAAGAATCTGTAATAATATCTGTCTTTTCCCAAAGAACTAACATTAGTACTGAAAGTAAAGTATTCCAAAGTAAATGGAATTCTGACATGATTAGTGTCAAATACTTTCAAAACCTGCTAGAAAATTCATTGATACATAAACTCCATTTTCTAATTTAAGACACATTAGAAGAAGGAAAATGTTGAATGGGATGGAAACTGATACTATGTTGAAATTTCTGGGTAATGTGTATTGCCTTTTCATGAAAACCTGACGAATTCCTCGTACTTCTTACCTGGAAATAGAAGAATGTGAGCAGCAGTAAAAACCAAGGTAAAAGGAACCATACTACTTTCAGATAAATTTCAAGAGCTTCAGAGCTTCCCACTCTTCAAAGGCTTTCTGCAATAAAAGCTTCCAGCAGAAGAGCATATGTGAAATAACAAAGCTCAGTAAAAACCAACTAAATGAAAAGGAAGGTGAGTTGTTACTATGGTTCTATAGCATGATGGTGAAACTTTGACATGAGCTTACTATGAGGCACAGTGCAGGAAATGTATTCTCTCTAGCTGTTATCTAGGAACACGGGGTATCACTAAGTTGTTCCTTGCAAAATTATTTCTAAAAAATGAGGAATGTGATTATACTATAATAGTTAACAGATCTGTTGCAAAAATAGATATGCTGCCTTTTTTGACACTTAGGTCTGTCAGCAAGATAAAACATCCAGTACCTTTTCTTTGCTTCATCGTTTGTAAGAAATGAAGGAATATTGTAAAAGAAATGCATTGATGGAAAAACATTTTTCTGCAAGTTAAATCCACAGTAGATTTCAAAAAGAAATATATAAAATAATGAGGACTACAGCATCCATATTGTTTAGGTTAAAAACCCCCACAGGTATATGTATATCAAAGCAAGTCACTTTTAACACATCCTGTAGATAAAAACCTTTTTTCTAGAACATTAAAGTGAACTCACAAATTACTAAAGCACATATATTCAAAGTCATTCAAAAGACTGTTTTCCTTCTTCACAGGTGACAGCCAGGAATCCTAAATCAAAGAAAGAAATGCTGTGAACAGGATGCAGCTTTCTGAGGTGCTTAGGAATGGAAAGATGCTTTTGGAAGCCATGCTGGACTGAAGACCTAGACTGAGATTCCCAGACTCTAATAAAAATATGGCATAGGAAAGTGCTGGCTAAATGGTGCCTAAGCAGTCAAACACACTGTCCTGGCCAGTACTGAAAGCTGTTGCTATTGCAACTTCTGCTGCCTCTACCACCAGTGGCTACAGTCATAGTGAGCAAGAGGCACATAAGAACCACTGATCTGGATGATTTTGCTTCATGTGAAAACTGAGGTAATGTGTTCTTACATTTCTCTAAGAAAAACAGGGGTGCACTAAGGAGCAGGAAGAATCTGCAGAGCTGATTGGAGCAATGTAAGGTATGTAGTAGAAAGAGAATATAACGAGTGTTAATTGGGTAAAAATAGAACAGGAGACCATAACCTAAACATGAAATCATATTTCATGTGTTGCATTTGGTGCTTTATTTACCCATTCTCCTAGTAAATACAGGAAGATTAAAATGCTAAGCAGAAATACTACTATTGAAAAAAATCATGGAGGACAGGTGCATGGTACTGGGAGAGAAACATTCAAGATCCAGAAATACCAATGTATTAAAGGTTTTAAAGGGATAACAAAAGATTTTTCTATGAATTTCTGATTACCTTTGCTTAATAATGTAAATAGAAATAGAAAAAGTGCATGAAGCAGCTAGCTGTGACCATTTTAAAATACTGCTTACCAATCACCCAAACTGTTGAATTACACAACTCCTACTGAAATAAATAGGAACTGCTGCTGCTGAGCCTTGTTATAAAGGAGGCCACCTGAGAAATTATTGAATTGCTGATGTATAACAAGTAATTGTTAGGAAGTTGTAAATTCAGATAATGTTTATTGTTGAGTGGGTGGCTGAGTCTTGGACAGACTTTACCTGTTCTGCTATATTCTTTTTTTTTTTAGTTGAAGTATACATCTTCTTTTTGTAATTACTTTCTCAAAGACTTCTGAAAAATGAATTCTCAAAAGCCTTAGAATAGTCTGCTGACATAGGTAATCTGAAAGAATTATTAGTGAACAGGTTACTGGAAAGAATAACAACTTAAGTCATCTAGAAATGAATACTCACAAAACAGTATTATTGTATAAACTTCCTTTTCTAAACTGCCTTGTCAGAAAACATGGTGAGCACATTCCCTGTGCTGTGAGCTATAAAAGGGTAATTCAAATTTTAGGCCATGTAGTACCAAATCAGAAACACTGTGTTCTAGTAATTCAAAGCATTACATCAGTCTAAACTCAAGCTGCCAGTACAAATTTACTCTAAGGATTTCTTCATGAATTTTTTGTAAAGGTACGTGCAAACTCTCTGTCTGTGGTTCTTCTATTCTGTGCCTGACTGGACCCTTCATAGTAACCCCTGACTTTTCTTTTTGTTAGTTAATGATTTTTTTGTAAAGGTATGTGCAAACTCTGTCTGTGGTTCTTCTATTCTGTGCCTGACTGGACCCTTCATAGTAACCCCTGACTTTTCTTTTTGTTAGTTACTGCTTCTTGTCTTCCCCACTTTCTGTTCTCAGGTGTATCATTAGCTCATGTGTTCCTACCCTAGTCCCCTTTCAGAAGGTTATTCACCCAACTCTTTTGTTGCTCTTTGCCTCAGACGTTCATTTGTTCAAGTATTCCAAAATTTGTGGCCTCCTTCTCTTTTTGCCTTTGACCTTGGCATAAACTACGTGGGTATACTGGCCACACTTTAATGACATACTCTGCTGTGGTGGAGACTGGGCCATCTGTTTCTCTTGGGTCTTTCTTGAGACTTTTCTCTTCTTGGGTAACCAGAAGAATCACAAAACTCCCTTCTGAGAAAGGGAATGCAAATGCACACCCTGACCTAGTCATCATTGATTCTAGTCAAAATTGGTGATACAATGAAGCTGTGCAGAAAAGCTTGCCCTTTCTATTTCCTCCTCATAATAAGTCAAAACATTGTTTCAGAGGTGAATTTTAGCTCAAGAGAGCAAAGTACCATCTCTTTAGACATTTCCCAAATAGTGGGCTTCTCTGCTGTCTACATCACTGATCACTTTCCCCCACAGATCCAACATATCCACACGTGCCTTGTATAGAAAAAACTCCTTCACCTTCCTGTCATTCCTGGAATGACTAGACATGACCTTCTGCTGTTAGGAAGCAGTCTTGATACGTACTCAAAATCTATAATGGATTTCAGGAGACTGGAGAAATACACTGGTAATGGATACCTTCAATGAGCCAGGAGAGTCTTGCTGGGTAAAAATGAATTGCACTCCACTCACATGTTCTTGCCCAGTCTGGTTTGGGTGAACAAGGTTTTTTCTGCTAGGAAAAAAATCTGCATGTTTTAGTTAAAAAACCCCAAAAAACTGCTTTGGAAAGAGAGCTCCTTTACAGAGGGGTTGGGATAGAGGGACAGTAAGAAAGGAGTATGTGGCTAACATCAGAAAAGCTTCTCAAGGAAAGCCTAGCATGCTTTGCAGTATTCATCACCCTGAGCTCAGGGGAGTGACTTTCTGAATAGCATGGCATGCCCGAACCTTGCTGGCTGTTTACATTCTCCACACTGATTAAAAATGCCATAATGAAGTTGGTGATTCCCAGCCTCCACAGCAATCTCAGCACAGTATAACTGCTGAGATGGCCACTGCTTTCTCATGTATGTTCAGCACAGACCTCACCTTCTCCATCTGTGTTTTTGCCATTGTTTTTGTCCCTCCAGGCATTTGCATCTTTTCCGACTGCCACCAACTCTTCTAAAAGATTCAGTGTTAATAGCATGGATAGTAATTCTACTCATGTTGAGAATTCCTCCCAGTATGACCAGCTCAGCTTCCCCTGCTTCACCTCTGCATGCAACTTCTCTTGCTGTGTGTGGTCACTGCACAAGGGAGCTTTGTCCTATACAAGGAATTTTGATACAAATATATTTAATTTCTATGACCAGCCTCTGCCGAAGCAACAACTTTGTTTATGCTGCTGAGTGAAAGTGTGTCACAATTTGAGACTGAGCTGAGAGTGAGGAGACTGGGTGGGCTTGGATACTAAAGCCCTTCTAGTCACAGATACATGAGGTTTACAAGTGGCACAACTTCCCTGTTCTGTGTGAGAGACTGCAGCTCAGGCGAGAGGCCAACACATCAGTGCAATGGTGTCTGACACAACCTGCCTCTCCTGCAGCAGGGAGGTGCTGCCATCCAGGAGGAGCTCAGGTGGGACAGTGCAGCAGTCCAGGATGGAGCCCAGGGGTCCCTGTAGCTAACCCTGAGGAATTTTCTGGACCTTCACAGCATGCCCCACCTGAGTTTTCCACACCTCTGCCAACAGCACAGCACTTAACCATCCTGCAGTCCAGGATGGAGCCCAGGGGTCTCTGTAGCTAACCCTGGGGATTCTGCTGGATCTCTTCCCCAGCTACAACCTGGCAGTAGCATTTCACAGCATGCCCCACCTGAGTTTTCCACACCTCTGCCAACAGCACAGCACTTAACAGGTTAGTCACCAGAGGAAGAATTGGATGGTAAACAGGGTTTAAGCTGTCCAAACCCCGTGTCAAACTGTCACAAGTGGGACATTGTTTCTGGAGGATTAAGATGGAAATGACCTGATGTTTTTCAAGAGACTGGTTGTGGAACAGTCTGGCCCCAGGAACAGCTACTAACAAAAGTGCCATGGATACATCAGGTATTTAAGTCCTGGGCACAGTTCAGCTGAGAGTTGGGCAGTGCATTGACAGTGCACACCCACAGAAAACCACTAGCGTGGCCTCTTGCTAATTCAACAAAGGTGTTTGAGATACAATTGTGAAAGAACACATGACCTGGCTAAATTTATATCGTTAGGTGATCCAGCCATGGGTAGACTTCTCTTCAATACTGTGGAACCATGGCCTGAAGGTCATTCACAACCAATGCAGTACAAGTATGTTGGTCACTCATATTGTACTGCCACAACCCTAGTCAATAATTTGGTCAATTATCTCAAAATTATGTTAATGAATTATAATAAAATTAAAAATGAAGTAGAATATGGAAATTATTTTATTGCGAGTGTAGATATTTAATATTAAAATATGCAGTGTTTGTTTATACCTCATTACAACTACATACAATGTGGAATGTATAATGTAATGGGCATCAACTTAGTTTCATAAATATTTTAGCACAAAATCACGCTTTTTCCTGTGTAGTTTACAAAAAAAGGAGAGCTGTGGTTGGTTATTTAAGTAAGTGCTTGTATTTGAGTATGTTCACAGATTAGATAAATGTACATAGTTACACAAATGGTCATATTTTAGGCCCTTTAAATCTGAGTCCAGAAAAGCCACATAGAAATAAGAGGTTTTATTAGATAGTAAGTAAACTAGAAGCAGCAAATAACTTAGAATAAATGGGAAGTTTGTACATACCAAGTATAGAAGTACTTAAAGATCATACGTACAGCTGTCTTACTGCTAAAATGATTGAACACAAAGTAGTATTACAATAAATATTTTGCTTACTAAAAGCAGTAGTGAAACTGGTTTAAGTATATCATTGTTTTGAAAGCCTCTAGGGTACTTCTGTTTATGTTATGGTCTACAACTATGAGGACAAGTAAATCTCAAATGAATTGAAATAGGACTTTGTGTGTACTCTCTCAAGGGGATTATTAATTCAAAATGTCACACAGTAAGTGTGAAGTATTTGACATGAACTGGTAGTGCACGATTTGGGCAGGTTGCATCCAGTAAAGTAATTCCACTCCTATCAAAATGTTATGGCACTTGAATTTGATTCATGCTCAAATCTACTTCTATGTTTGTTTTAACAGGGATCTCTTAAAATGTGATGAGCAATCTCATTTCACTGCTTCACCGCTGCAGCCCACAGAAGCAGCTGCTTTTAGTCTCGTGAGAACTTTGTCCCACAATCCTACATGACTAGCAATGCAACCACTCAGCATACACATGTAAGTTTTAGGGATAAAACCAACATCAACAATAAGCCAGTAACATGCTGTGCAGCTAGTGTAGTATAGGATGAGAATTAAATAAAATCCAACCTGGATGAAGTAGTTTCAAAGACTAAAGAAAATGCTTAAGGTAACATCAGCATTTCCTCATAAATCTGCTCCAGTGTGACACAGACTGAACATGTCTGACCATGCACGTTCAAAGACCAGTAACTGCCAAGAAGAAACTCCCTCTGTCTCCCTCTAATATATATGGAATTGGCTGCCTTCAGGTTAGATTGCTATCTCCTGCTTGGCTCACATTGCAAAAGGCACACTTCCCACACTAAGGACAACGTATTTACTAAGCAACTCGAGCTAATGAGAACATAGTTCACTAATGTTTGGGACTTGCTCTTTTTCTGATGAATACAATAATGTATTCATTACTACTGATGTAAAAAGCTTTGAACAGATGCACTCCTTCTGATTTCTCTGATCCTCACAATATTCACTGCAGCAATTCACTATATATGATTCATTTTACCGGGTCCTACATATAAATTTGAGATTTTGGGCGAAAAAAAAATCAACGTACTAATCAGCAAGCTCAAAATTCTGAAGTACTAGGCATAACCCTGTAAGTGTTACCCTGTGGTTCTGCAAGACACTCTTTATCTTGCCAAAAGGAGAAGAAAACACAACCTGCAGCTCAGAGGTACATGCAGCTGCTGGAAACTAGGCTGGAACAGATAACTTACTGTCCCTTCTAGGCAGATGCCATTATTTTCCATAATCCCTATGCAGCACTTAGATATTAGTTTAATAGCTTCCTTAGAAACTGGCAGAGTAAAATTATGCTAAATAAGCAATATTTACTAGAAATTCTTCTGATCCTTCCCTTGAGGCATAATTGAACATTACTACTGACTCCTCAAAAGTGGCTGCTCCATTTCCAATCCCTTTACTCCTTAGGAAAAGCATTTTGCAAAAGGAAAAACCTTTAAATTATTGCTCTTCCTTTGAAATGGTTCTCTGATTTGTCTGCTAGTTCAGATGCAGTGCTCCTACTAATCCCTCCTTTTGAGACTTTACATTCTTAATAATTCAAGGAGTGGAACAGGCTGGACTAGGTAGGTCCTTTGCATTTCACACTGCAGAATGAAAATTGCTAATTGAGAAGCTGTGTGTGCTGAAGCATTGTCACAAAATCCGGTTATAACATTTACAGTTACATATATAAGTATATATATCTAATATTTGTGCAAAGTATGTTGAACTGTATGATACTTAAAATGACGTGAATTTTGGGCTTTGTACACACACCTGTTAGACCTAGAACGCAGATGTTTTTTGGCCACAGCGTTTATTTCCAAACGGTGAATAGGGCTGTACTACAGAGGGTTCTGTGCTGTGTACAGAACGGGGTGCTGTGCTCTGTGACCCTGT